CCTCTGGAATGACCTACCCCCCGACCTACGTACAGTTGCGGACCTGCGCCTTTTTCGCCGAGCCCTGAAGGCCCATCTATTCCGTGTGGCCGGCCTGGCGTAGTTTGGATTGTGTTTCAGTGGGGGGTTTTGTATGGGTGTGTTTTTAGAACAGGCCTATTATTCAATTCGATTTTAAAACAGAAATTATTTATTTATTCGTGGTTTTTAGTATCGCCTGTTCACCACCCTGAGTCCCGCAAGGGAGATAGGGCGGTATATAAATTTAATAAATAAATAAATAAATACAGCTGACTCCGCCTTCTCCCAAGGCTGCGTCTTTTTCTCTCTCCCTCTCCTGCCCAAACTGCCTCCATTTATAGCCTGTCTCCACCCCCCCTCCTCCTCCTTTCTCTTCCAGGTGAGCCGGAAGTGCTGATCCTGGGTCCTTTGCCTCGCCCCAGCCACTCTGCAGCTCTGGAGGACTCTCTTAAGGCAAGTCCTGCGCTGCGCTGCTTTGGCTCGTTCCCTCCCCCACTACCCTTGGCTGGGCAGGGCTGTGTACCACCTGCCACGTTCCAATGTACCACAGGTGGTACGCGTACCACCGGTTGAAAAGCCCTGCACTAGGACTCCAAGATCCCTCTTACAGTTACTGCTATTGAGCCAGGTACCACTTATTCTATACCTATACATTTGGTTTTTCTTGTCTAAATGGAGGACTTTGCTTTTCTCACCACTGAATTTCATTTTGTTAGATAGGGCCCAGTGTTCAAGTCTTGTCAAGATTGTTCTGTATCTTGTGCCTATCTTCTGAAGTATTGGCTATTCCTGCCAGCTTGGTGTCATCTGCAAATTTGATGAGTTCCCCTTCTATTCCCTCATCTAAATCATTGAAGATATTGAAGAGTACTGGGCCTAAGACTTGGGGTACCCCACTGGTTACTTCCCTCTATGTAGATGCAGTTCCATTAAGGACTTCAGGTTCCGGTTCGCGGCGACTCCGGTCGCGTCTGGAGACTTGTCTCCATACCGGCTGGGTTTTTCTTCGCCGGTAGACCCCTTGTGGGTCGAAAGTTGCCCTGGAGGGGCGACCACCGAGGAGGAGGCTTGCTGGAGACTGCAGGAGGGCGGCAGCTTC